TAGTGCGCGGTACTAGTTCGGGCGGCGTAACGAGTGCCACCGAGATGGGGATTCGTCCAAGTTTAATCTTAAAAGCCTACACGAATTTCAAATTTTAACTCAAATTGGCGAGTTTCTCGGGGGAGGAAAGCCCATCTCTCCCACAAGTTAATGAGATACCCTGAGAAAATGTTACACTGTTAGTGACTAGAAAAATGACTTAAAATTATAATGTCTTAAAGGGTACTTTCTTTTCTGCAGCAAGCAGCTTACAGAAAGGAAACAGACAGAGCAGTCTATAAAGGAAATAAATAGAAATAGAGCAGCCTATACATGGGTTTAGCATAATTCTTGTTCTGTACATTTCAGCTTATAAAAACCGAGCACACAGGCGAGTCTAAGACAATACAGAACGTCACCAGCCAAACAGAGGTAATCACAGACAGCAGTTCATCAGCACGAGCATGCAACTCCAGGCTGGTAGGGAAGTTTAAAATCAAACTGACATAATTCTGAAACTCTGATACACACTGACCCAACATATATAAAAAAAGACTACATTTTTACTAGGAGGAACAAATGTCAAACTTTTATTGATGCATTACTAATTCCACTTCCCGGCCTCTTTCATTTCTTAAAAGAACTAAAGAAGTCAGGAGAATTCCCCAGTATGTGCCACCTGCAGGTAAGATATCTGAGGACTCAAAAGGTATCTCGAAAGATTTAGCTTTTAATTTAGTGGAATGGGTGACAGGAAGCTGACACTCCAGACACTGCCTACGGGCATTCAAATTCCACTAGCTGCCTATGTGACAGAATTTGAAAGATGTTAGTGAAATTCATTCCCTTACAGTCCAAATCTCAAAATACGGACAACTAAATTAAGGAGTACTACTAGTATGAAGTCCTGCTCCTGCCTGAAATCAAAAGGAAAATAAGTATTTTAGACACTTAGTATCAAAATTCTGCTGAACTACAGGTTGAACTTCTGCTATCTGTTCTGATTTAAAGGGCGAGGACATGAAAACGCCTTTTTGATAGAAAGATTACCTTAAGCCAGAAGCCTTGCCTTAGCTGCTGCAGTCTCTCTCGGATTCAAGAGCCTGAGTTCTAAGTTACTGCCAAACAGAAACATACCTAACCCCAGGCTAACCCTTGCTTGCATCACTTCCAAATGGCACTGAAGCAACAATGTTTCCTAGGCAACCCCAAAAGAAATCATAATTTTTACACAATCCTACAGGGAATAGCTTCACCATTTCCTATCTGCACTGACTTGGCCAATTTTGATTATGTAGTTCACAAGTATCAATAAAACAAGCCACAGTTGTGAAGACACACACAAGTCAAATTTCAATTAACAGATTTTTTTCATCACTTGTTTTCAAGTCTTATTTTAAACATTCATGTGATAATACATTTTTTATTTCAAATAGTAAAGATGCCACCACATCTGTGCAAACACTAAGAAAAACCTAACCGAGGCACAAAGAAGCCAGAGGGAATTCAAGTAACAGTCAGAATGTAATTTGGAAGATGCATTTTTTTCTAAATCATAGAGGTCTTTTACACTGTATTAAAAATAAACTGATTTTCCCATCCACACAAACAGCTGACTTGCCTATATATACATACCAAGTAATAAGATATCAGTTTAATTTTTTTGGGGGGTAATTTTTTGTAAAAGATGACAATTTTCTATAAAAGCTAGTCCCTGAATGCTTGAAATCTATGTACCTTTCAGGTAAGTAACTATTAAGAGAAATTTATTTTTTTTTAAAATAAAAATATATACGTTTCTCTATACTACCTAATGGCAGCTAAAATACAATGATAATTCTACAGTGAACTGGTCATATACAGAAAAATATTTTAAACTGTTCATAGGTAACTTCAAATAAAAACAAACCCAAAATATTTAATATTTTAAATGATCTGGTCAATAGGTTAAGAAAAAAAAATAGTGTTAGATCACTTTTTTTCACCACACTGAATAATTACAACTTTTGGTCTTTGTTACAGATGCTGTAAAAGTGTTTCTATGGAAAAACCAATGCTCCCCCCAACCCCAAGAAATTAAACAGCAAGCCATTTTGAGGAAAAAAAAAAAAGTGTTTTAAGAAGCATTTCTTCTAGCTTGCATGATATAGCCTTTGGACTTGATAATTCCTCTGCTTTTAACAATGACTGAATATCGGAGAAGCCATAAAGGAATCCACTCGTGTGCTTTCATGTTCTGGATGCTTTCATGAAGAACTTCTTGGAAACTTGCTTCACAAAGTAATTCTGAAGTTAAAAAGGGATATTTATGCTTTAAATAACGCCATGTAAATAGCTGCAAAAAGCAACATGTAGTTTTGCTACAGTCAAAAATCTTAAGCAGTGCCAGACACTCCATAGATCCAGTTTTCCAGAATGCACATAGAGTAAAAGCAGCTGAATGTTACAGAAGAAATATTGATGGCAAATTTTTTTTAATTATTATGTATTTCCCACAAAACTAACTGAGATTTTTACATTATCAAGCGGAGTTGAACAGCAGGACTGTTAGCAAGAAAAAAATGAAAATTAAATTTGAGAAGCTAGCTAGACAAGCTAGAGGTGAGTAAAGTTTAAAGCTGAAATCAGCCAAGTACTGAGCGTTCTCAGTTGCCTCTGCAATCACGGGAAGCTCAGCATTTATAGCATCTCCCACAACTGGGCTCATCATAAGCACAAGGCCAGAAAGCAGAAAAGGCAGACAATTACAATTCCTCCTAGTTTCCTCTAGAAAGTCAGTCAAGGAAACGACCTCTCTATGATGAGTGTTCCCAAAAGATAGTCTCAATACTCTTCAGCTGTGTGTTACAGAGGCATTAAGCTTAGCAAACAATGCATAAGGGAATCACTACTTGCTTTGTTTTCTATCCAGACCCTCTACTCCTTCATTTCATGACTCTCAATAGAGAGTATTTTACTAAATTGCAGTTGCACTTCAGACACCACAGGACATGGAAATTCCTGGATTGAATGGCAATTCATCTTGTATGCTGCCAGAGTAGGGCTCAAGCACTGATAAATTCATTAGTTGTAACAGTGGTACTATAAAGCGTGTCCTTCATAAATAGCATTTCATAAATTTTTGCTCTGGGGGGCAGGGGATGGGAAGAAAGGAGAGAGAAGGAAAATTAACAATCATCCTGAATAGTTGGTCATAAGGAAGAATGTGGGGAAGGAATGGACCAAATATTGTTTAAGACTTCTTGCTTACAATTCCGGCAAGATATTCAAGGCATCATTACAGTGAAGACTAGACGAGGTTTGAGAGAAACTAATATAATACTCAAGAATATTCTAGGGAGCTGGTAACTTGGGAGTTCTTGAGTCTGAAGGAAAGTCTCCAAGTCCTTCAACCATTTAGTAAATAAATCACTACATAAAAGTAGTAAAGAATTTACACCAACTCTTTCTGTAATAGCCTTATTTCAAGAAGCCACTACTTTGAAAGAATCCTGCTTAAAGTGTAATAGTATTACATGTCTAACATCACCAAACTACTCAAAAATCAATGGACCATCAGCACTTCTATACAAGCTACTTTACAGACAAGTTGAGTTATATTTGTCATTTACTGGCCTTTAGCAATACAAATGTCATTTCATTCTATGTTTTGTGGAAATAAGCTATTTTTTGAACATATGTAGCACAAATTTCTCAGTAGTCTATTCTCCTATTTACTTTCTCTGATTAAAACAATTTCAATATTCAAGGCTGGAAGACTGCCTTCCTCTCACCCCATTCTGGAAGCAAAAGCAAGAATTTAAATATTTCACAGAGGAGAAAATTTTGGAATCCTTTCTTCAGGATTCAAATGTAATCAATTTTGAAGTTCAGAGAAAGATTATTCCCAATTTTGTATTGAATAAATGCATTTACAAGTCTTTTGTTAACTGATTTGGCAAAGCCTTACCTTTTGGGTCATTGTGAGTTAACAGCTGTATGTCAAACTGTTTTGCAAACGCTGTGAGATCAGGTGGCATCACACAACAGGAAGCTAGATTCACCTGATTACTACTTGGTTTCACCTGAAAAGAACAGAAAATTTTTGTAAGAAAAAAAAATATTTAACATACTTATTTTAGTTGTTTCCCCCATGCCCTCTATTACAACAGAAGGTTTGCTTTGAACAATTTGCCTTTGACCATTGTTTTGAGGTCTGAACAAAGCTAATTAATTTTGCATGACGCTGAACAAAAACTCCTGCATCTGCAACACAGAGCCCCAAACAAGAACAGGATCTAACTTCAGGTACTGCCACACCACAATGAGTACTAACCTGTTCTGGCTTCCTGTGTGCTGTTTCCTAAACAGCAGCAGGATTTTCTGACCCTCTCTAGTAAAAACATTATAAAGACAGTAGTTTGAAAAAAAAGGACTTCAATTAAAAAATTCCAAATAGCTTTTTGTTAATGATACATAATTTGCAGTCTTCTGTGCCTTCAGGTAAGTGCCAAAATCAGATTAAAGTTAAAAGGAATGCTCCTCCACTGACTCTCTACTCATCACAAACTGCTTTCATGATCAACATGCAGGTGTTCATTAATCCCTTCAATTATCCTCTTCTGCGTACACACAAAACAGCGAGGAGCACATTAGGACTCTCAGCAGGACCTCTTACACAGGCACAGTATGTTCTCACACACAAAAGAAACATTCTAAGAGGAGTACTCAAAAAACTAATAAAAACCCTCCAAATCCACAAGCTTGCACGGGCACACATTAGTACAGACCTCCGTCATTCCAATGTTAAGAGGCAATTAGTCACTTTGAACAACAAAATATTGTGCCACTTCATTCACAGCCAGTCTTCCTCTACATTTCTGCTTAGCCCTCAAACAGCGTTTTTCCAAGGGGAAATCCCTCCATTCTTAACACAACTTCAAGCGAAAACAGCTGTTTCTAGAGTCACTGGAATAAAACTGAAGGTTTAAGTGTACTGTTAATACTCCTTGCTAAGTATAAAAGCCTTCAAAACTCAAACCTTCAGTGCTTCAAAGAACCTGAACAGACCAGTACTGAACAGACCTGTGGCTTCCAGCCTGTGCTGGTGTGTACATAACATCACTGAACAAGCGACAGCCATGCTTTGAGCCTCACCCCACCTTGAATAACACACCCATAAGACACTGAAAATAACAAGGGTAATTAGTATTTTGTATATAAAACTGTCTGTAACACTGTAGCAGCCAACAAAACAAGTTACTTATGTAGAAATAATACAAGGAACTTTGTTCTCACCTGTGCCCACAGATACAGCTGCTCTAACAGTGTTTTATCTAGGTCAGAGGTACCTATGGCAACAATTTTTTTGTTTTGAACTAGATTTTCAAGTTCTTGCCAATAAGGTTGCAAATACTCCAAGGAGAGGCTAATTCCATCTTCAATAGGAGGTGGGGCAATAATGACTGAGTCTAATTGAGCAACTCCAAGGGAAGAACACGCTGAGGAAAAAGAACAGAGACACTGCAAAATCTTTTGTGAGATGCAAACATAAGCAGCACGGCTCTTCAAATCCAGCAAAAAAACCCCACACCTCCTGCATTACTGTGCCAGCTTCCCATTCACCATTTGAAAGTCTTGAGTGTATCAGCAGTCAAGGATAGAAATACAATGTTTTTAGCAAAGAGCCAAACATTCAGCTGAAGGCCAAGTTTCAGTTGTAGGTATTTGGGGGGGAAAAAAAAAAAAAAAAAAATCAACAAACTACAAAAACCTCACCACCCAAGTATGATGCTTTTTTCTCCTTTTCAATGTTAAAACTCTATTTTTCTCAGAAGAGTGTGCTGATATACAATTCTTGATTCCTTCACTCTTAATTTCTTCTGAACTTTCTAACTTCCACTATGAACTATAAGTCAAGCACAGGGCACAGACTAGGAGAACTATTTGGTAATGTGAGGAACTAGACTAAAAGCACACCAAACACAGATATTTAAACACAGAGCAGTGGCAAGAGTTTTGGAGTATCGCTGAGCTTTAGGAAAGATTGAAGTCATGAGGCCTCTTCTGCACAACAAAAAGAATAAAACTAAGTAGTTAAATAATTTTTTTATGGAGGAAGATCCTATCAATGTACTTTTAACAAGTGGCACTACAAGCTACAATGAAGAGGCTATTAACTGGGGTATCAATAGAAAAGAGTATCTGCTCTCTTTGTTCTTTGGTAACACCTTATGCCCAACAAGCTTCCAAAATGGTGAAGTTCAATGCTGCTCATAATTACTGCTCTGTTAGGCTAACAAAACTTCATGTATCAGTACAGTCATTGCATTGGATTTTCACTAAAACTTAATTACTTCATCAGCTGCTTGCAGCATGGTTTTAGTTCTTAGATACAGAATATAATTCTGACAGTCACTAAATACAGCTCCTGGATAGAAAAGGTTCCAATTTTATTTCTAAAAGAGAAACACTACCAGAAGTTTGAGTTTCACACTTACCCAGGTCTACCGCATCTCTGATTGATGAAGAGTTTGATCCAACGAGGAAAAGTTTTGCTATTTTCAAAGAAACTGGAATCAATAACTAAACAAGCCAGCTATTACTAAATTATTGCTATTTAGTATTGCTATATACACTACTTACGAGTTCTTGAGCAAATGGTTCTTAGAATATACATCAATTGTTTCAAAAATGGGGGGAAAAGCTCAACAACTTATGAAAAGTGACTGCCCGGTAAAGACATTGTTCTCAGAAATTTCAAAGCTGTCATGCAGTCTTAGAAAAAGAAATCCAGTTAGATGATCTAAGAAGCAGTGATGCTAGGACTTAAGCATCAAGACACTAAGCAATAATTATAACAATCTGTATAAACCCCTCAAACTTAATATTACAAACAGACCTCTTCACAAGTTTACTGAGACTCAAAATGTACTAGCAGTAGTTTGGACTGTCTCCTTCAGGTTCATCATACTCAACCCAGAAAAACTATGCAAATAAACGTGCTTCCAATGTTATTTCTGAATTGCAGTATTACTTGCAATATTTTGCTTCAGGAAAGTCAAAGAGTCACATAATACATTTTAAATGTTTTGAAGGAATGTAGTTAAACTAGAAGAATGCTGAGTGCTTTAAAACCCGAAATACGAATTCATGTCCTTCTTAGCCAACTTCTAGATTACTCAAACCATGACAGTGTGCTGTGATGTAATTTGACTTTACAATTACATAATATGGTGGGGAAAATACAATATAGGAACATCCTATTACTGACTGCATATGAAACCTTATGCCACCAGATTTTTGACTATGTTCTTACCTGATACTTTCAACTCATCCCTCTCTTCAGGATTTATTTTTTCTACAGCTTGAGCTACAGTACACTCCAGAACCTCCAGTATTTCCTGTAGCAAGTATATGAGACTTAGGAACAACTTGTCAGGAGACAATAAGTTTCCTGAAGAATGTTTTTTAGCAATTAAAAAACCATAAATCAACCTTACAGCAGTTAAAACCCCAAATAATATAAAAGTGCAATGATAGAATGAAAGTATCTTAATGCTTCTTGATCCCTGAGTGAAAGTCAGGAAAATGAAGCTATGTGAAAGATCCTACACGGCCCTAACATATAAAGTACAAATTACCGACAAGAATTATTGGAATAAGATTTAGGAGTGTTCTAATTTTGTGATGTGAACAAATTGCTGTGCCAATTAAAACTGCCTTGATTTAAAACAAAGCCTCATGACCAGCTGAAAAAAACCCAAAAACCAAACAACCCACATTATCAGAATTAGGGGTTTCCAGTGTTGGGTGGGAATATCATTGCATAAAAGTATTTTGTAATTTCAGTGAAGTCTTTGAAAAGCCTACAGTGAAAATACTGTAAAATACAGATTTAAAGCAGTAATTGTGAAAAGAAAAAAAACTGGGAAAGTTTCAGAGATTCCATCCTCTAACCTAAGACTAGACTGACATCTGACATCAGCTAGCAAAAGGTAACTTTAAGCCTTTACCTACATGAGATTTTGTATTATATACACACATACACCACTCTGCCCCCAACAAAGAACTTCATTAATTTTTGCTGCCCTACCAAAAAATCCTCAAGTGGGTCTTCGAGTTATCCCAGAGAGTCAGCATTTTCAGCAAGTTAAGTTCTTTTTTAAAAAAAAAATTACTGGAAACCGATATACTTGACAAAAGAACGTGGAATTGTGCAGTTAACGTTGACAGTAAAGCCTACCTTACACTAAATAATTAGCTTTAAATAGATCATTATATCTTATAGAGATCAATTATTGATATTCGCTTCTTGAGCAACCATTAGATCTTTCACAAATAACTCAGCAACAACTGCCTCAGCACAAGCCAGCGTGGTTTGCAGCAATGTGCTACCATTACACAAGAACAAAACCCATAGAAATGATCAGGCAAGTTTTTTAGTTTGTTTTATTCTTTTTAATGAAATATGCTAATATTTCACAGAGCAAATACGTATTTAGTATTGTTGGATTTCAGAAGGAAATGAGGAGTGGCAAATACACCAAGATCTTGATGTCAAATGCCCATGACTGTGATTTTAAGAATTGTGTGGAAGCTTTTAGCTCTTAAAGGAAAATTTGCCACTTCTGCATCTTTAGAAATATTTCTGGTACAACCAGAAGGCTACACTTTAGAGTTCCCCTCCAAACAGGATGAGCTTCAGCTGTCTAGTCTATCATCTCCATAGTTTAGGTAATTCTTCAATGAGTTTTTACAAGCATGCCAGCAAACTCCTAAGTTACATGCTTTTTGTGGTTGACCCAACAATTAGCTTGAAATCTTACAGACCAGGACTTTTACTTCGCTAGGAATTGTCTTATTTGTCAACAGGATTCTTTACTTTGATGTTTCTTAACTAAATTTACTAAATATTAAAAAAAAACAAAGGGAAGAGGTTGAAAAATATTCTTTTAGTATACCCAGAGCAGATACTTTTACAGAAATTTAATAAATTCACTTATATTTTAACAGGTGTAACCCAACTACACGTTTATTTTCACATGTATAACACCTACCTGATTTGGTTCTTGTCCAACCTTTGAGCTCCATTCAGTCAGTGTTTTTTGAATGCAGTCCCGCACCTACAAAATATTTTTTCAGATTGAAGTGCAGGTATGTTACAGCTGCACAGAAATACAGTGATTCATAGTCATGTAGGACTGAGCAGGTGAGCTAATGGCACCATTCCTTCCACCACAGAAGATTCTTCCTTCACAGCTTCCACCTGAAACTTGTTCAAACTAGTTTACTTACATATTTTCCTCTCTTCTTTCACAAAGAGTTTTAGCAGTAATACAAGTACTGTACTTCATTTATTTCTCAGACTAATGCCATCTTTAAAGGAAAGAACAATGCTAAGCAAGCTTAGCTTAGGGGGTAGAGTAGTGGGTTTTCTTGCACAGAGATTCTTAAATTACAGCGCCGTCCAACAACAGCATACACGCAGTGACATTGTTACAGATGAGACCTCACAATCAATCACTAAATGCTCATTATATTAACCTCTCTTTTCAAGATGCATTTGCCTCTTTTCATGTGCTGCCTTCCTATTCCCTACTCCATTGTGCCAAACTAATGCTTTTTAAGCCCAGCATTACCACAGGGGAAACCTTCGGATCCTACCTCACAGTTGCATTTTTCCTGCATCCACAGATGCAAAATAATCTTCACTAGGATTCTGATAATGGATATTCGTTAACATAGTAAAGTATAACTACTAAGTCTAAATCAGTTAACTGATCACATACTGTAACAGCGCTACAGCTGTGCCAATGCTCTCACTTCCCTCTGATACCCGTTGGGAGTTGTTACCCTGCAGGCTAAGTAAACATACTGCCCAGACTGCGATCTGCCACAGGTAAGAGCACTTTTATGAGCTGCTCCTTTGCTTTACTTTTAGCTATATATTTTATAACCACACAGATACCTATTTTTTATACCATTAAATAGCAATTTCCTGTGATACCTAACATTAATTCAGAGAGTTTATAATACTACACATAAATTAGAAGCAACCCCACTCCCCCCAAAAAATCTGGATATCAGAGATTAAGACATAATATAGTAATAATACTTTGTGAGCACAAATTGGATATATTCTTACCCAGTCATTTAAAGTGGCATAAAAAAAATAACTGACTCAAAAGGCGAGAACTGACTACCCCCCACTAAATAACTATCCTCAATGCTGGAACCCTTTAGTCTATTCTGATGCAAATTAAAATGTTAACTTTTCCTTTCTGCACTGCTAAATATATATATTCTGTATATCGCTACCTTGCAACTCTCACACTTTATATTTCTATTACAGTTAATATGCACAAGCGTCTGTCTCCAAAGCACACCTCTCCCCTGTCCTCAACACATGTGAAAAGTACAGTGTATTTGCTTTGATCAGCTTTTCCAAATACAGCTACATCCTCACACTCCTAACGTTAAGGTTCATAGTTTCAAAATTTTACCTTACATTCTGTCACTGAGAACTATACACACACTAACTACACTAAACAGAGGAATTAAAAGCCAAATTGTTTCTGATAATTAATGCCATTCCTTGCTTTTGGAATGTCAACAATTCTGGAAAGCAAGCAGCCTTATCTTGAAAGGCATATTTTCCTCTAAAGAAATGAATTTAAATACTTATACTGATTAGTTACGCATACTGGCCACTCTTCATTCAATAGCCCTCCAGAAACTACTCGTAAAAGGGTGCCAGTTATGATTCAGCTATCCCTTTGCTCCTCAGTCTAGCCCTATTTCACAGAGATAACAGACTATTATAATAAGCAACCAGGCCAGATAAAATAGTTATAACCACATAACAACTAAATTAAAGCATGATGAATTCTTCTTTCTCATTACATCATCCTCCCAATCACTTTTCGTACCATTTGTGCACTGCAGAGGGATCTGGACAGGCTGGGTCGATGGGCCGAGGCCAGGGGTATGAAGTTCGTAAGACCAAGAGCAGGGTTCTACACTTTGGCCACAATAACCGCCTGCAGTGCTACCGACTGGGGGAGGAGTGG